TCGTCCACGGTGAAAGCCGATCCGGCGATCCACAGCGCGAAGTTTGAAGTATTTCCTCAGCGACCAGCACGGATCAGCTCCGAAGCACACAGCGCCTTCACGACATTTGGGCGGCCTTATGCAAATCTTCCCACATAGTGAGGTAGACATGTGGGGGCGTGTTAGAACGAGCCGTTTTAGGTAGGTGTGGCTGACTCTTAACTTTCATAAAGAATATCTCTTTGGATTTGAGACTTTAGTCTTTGCAACTTTACAGATCTTCTTTATGCACCAAGAGCTTGTAACACTCCAAAGAGAAAGGAAAAATTGAAATCGCATCATATGACCCCTTTAAACAGCAGTTTTTAATTTGTGTATAATAAATATGCATGTAGTTTTTTGACCTCATATCATTTGAAAGGCTTAAGGGAACTTTCTTTGTAAATAAATAAATAAATATGCGTTTTAAGAGAAAAGAGCAAAACTCTTACATATTTATCGTCAAGGAAAATAGAAAAAAAGAAAACATATGATAATAAACTGTTATTTTTGTCATTGTAACAAACTCTACATATTCTAATAATAATAATAATAATTAAACATTCTAATATTAAACACATTCTAATATAAATAATTAAACAGTATCTAAATGTAATATACATTATAAAATACATTAACAAGTAACTTTACTATACCTATTTAAATATATAATAGGACAACGACAGCAAGTATAATATTAAACACATTAATGTCGAAAAACTAAAAAAAAAATCTATCAATCAACAACCTGACATATGTAATCAAATGTGAATCCAGTTCAGTTCAAATCATTCCTATTATTGTGGTTTATTCTTACGATGCTATAAAAGGATAAAATGATGAATGATGTGTGTTGTGTTGTAAATATAACGATTATTAGATATTCAAACGTCAAAAACGCTGTATAATAAAATAAAACACGTAAGGGAGGAGTTGACTGCTTAATGCAGTTAGTATACAGTATGTCTGCAATAACCCACACGAATAATGAGTGACAATAGAGCCGGAGTCATTGGAAGCGGTAACGACACACATCCGAAAACGACAGCAGTATGATCTTACCCAAAAACATGTTTGAGGTTATATCGCAGCTCAAATTCTTCATATCTTCACCTTATGAAGAGTCCTGACTTCTTCTTCTTCTTTAAATTTTATTGGCGGTTGGCAAACCAACTTAAAGGTGCATTTACCGCCACCTACTGGACTGGAGTGTGGGCAGTACTTTGAGAGAAAGGACAATGAGAGAATAAAAAAAATAAAAAAAAACAACAAAAAAACTATTTTTTCCTTTTTTCCTCCTTTAACCCCCCCAAATTATCTATACACATATATATACATATGTACACACATACATACATATATATATATATATACATACATACATACATACACACATATACATATATATACACCCATACTCCTTCCCCCCATATATCTCCATCAAATTCTTTCACTTATCCCAGTATTTTTCAAATATGAAGAGTCGTGACGCCATGTCTTCTTCTTTAAAATAGACTGAAGCGCAGGAGTGACAAGATGAACCACCAGCGCCACCCATCGATCTGGAGCCATGTGGCTGGTCCCAGTATAGGTCTTAAACCCCGCCCTCTCCATGTAATCTAATGGGACGTGAGACAAACTAAATAATTCAATTACACTTCAAATATTTTTTTACAAAGATGTTTTATCACGCTGATGTAAGTTCAAGTGTTCGTTTTTGAAATAAGTTTGGTTTAGTTAATTTTTTATTTTAATTTTTTACAAATAAAGAAGAAAAAGAGGGTGTTTAATACATTTCAAACTGAAAAACAAAATTGAGACTTACTTGTCATTAAAGATAGGAAAAGAGTTACAGACAGATAAAGTTTTTAAAACTTTTTTGTTCTTAGACAACTGATCAATTCAAATTATTTTATGAAAACAAAAGAGAGAGGTCTGGACTCTGGAGTTTGAATATTTGCATCTGTGGATGTGGAATTTAGCAAGAAGCAAAATCAGATTCACTACATAAAGCTGTTTTCTTTTAGATTGTTCCCTACCTCTCAAAGACAGATCCTTTTGTAGCTACTAGTTAAATATTTTCTGTGTTTTATCAATAAAGGGGTTGATAATTAAGAGTATATCTTTCTTTCTGATCCTTAACAATTAAAACACCTGGATAACCATTTTTTTTCTTTCACTGGAATATTATGGACAAAGGATTCATTACAGTCTTTAATGGAAAAAAGTTCACACTTTTGAATATTTAAGTATAAACCTGCGGCTTTAGAAAATGAATCAATAATATGTATAGCAAGTGGAATCTGCCTATCATCTTTAAAAAAAAAAAGGGGGTTGTGTCGTCAGCAAGCTGACTGATAATCACCTCTCTTTCAGCAATAGTTTACCCCTTTTAAACTGCTGGCCTTTATATGAGAACAAAGAATCTGAGCTGCGAGAAGAAAAAGGTAAGGGGAAATAGGGCCCTGCCTAATGATTTAGTTAGTTAGGGTGACCATACGTGCCATTTTCCCAGGACACGTCCTGGCCAGGATTTCTATATTGCCTAAAATATCTAGGTTTTGGCTTTGTTTGCGTGTGCAGACCGATCGGTGTATGACATCAAAGTACCATACAGACGGTTATGCTTTCGAAACGCTCTCGAGGTACTTTGATGTCAAACACTGATCGGTCTGAGCCGCACTGCTTTTAAGTCGAACACACCTAATATGTACGCGTAATTGCATCGCTTTGACCGTAGATCCCACCTTCTCACACGCCATGATTGGTCCATTATGTACAATGCTTGCATGTTATTGGTCAAACTACTTTTCGATCATTACCTTCAGCAAGCATGAAATCAGGAAAACAAAGCCAAAACAAATCCTGGCCAGGACGCGTCCTGGGAAAATGGCACGTATGGTCACCCTAAGTTAGTTATGTGCAGCTATAAAAACAGGAGTGTGATGTCATGATTTACAGCTGAGATTGACAGCTTCTCTGAGCTAACTGAGGCGCCAACGGACTTTTTCAGGATCTTCAGGAGGAGAATGGAGTTGTATTTATCTTATTTTAACAAGCCTCTTGCACAGCAATCAGCAGACACAAATTGGAGAAGTCAGGCTAATTAAAAAAGGGGAGGGGGAGTGTGCTTACGATCAATTCTGCGGGAGTGTGGGCGGGACGTGGCTCCACTCCGATCACTACTGATCTCAGCCTGCAACAAGCGAGAAGTTTTCCAAGGGGCCACGGCTCTGATGCAGCGGTGGGTTACCCTGACATAAAACCGGCCCATGCGCCAGACATTGGACGGGACTTGGGCTTTCAGCTAGTATTGGAGGGGCCGCATATTGAGCAGGCCCAGAGGAATCGCAAAGTAAGTGGCCGCCATGAGGCTGATCATCCTCTGGAAACCTCGGAGGGGACGAGAAGTCCCTAGCCTGAATGACGCCGCTTGCCTCTGAAAGATCAGGGAGCGTTCTGGTGTAATCCATGCTCTCGTCTGAGTAGAGTATATACTTGTCCTCAGAAAGACCACTCGCTGTATGGGAGACAAAGAGCTCTTGGTCAAATTGATTTTCAACCCAAGATGCTGTAGCTGGCTGAGCAGCCGCGTCCTGTGAGCACTGAGTTCCCGTTCTGATCCAGCCAAGTGTCGAGGTTATTCAGAATGCGGATTCCCATCTGTCTCAGAGGGGAAAGAGCCACGTCCATGTACTTCGTAAAAGTGCGAAGGGCAAGGGACAGCCCAAATGGCAGGACTGTGTATTGTTAGGCCACTCCCTCGAAGGCGAATAAGAACGGTCTGTGATGGGGGGCTAATTGGATTATGAAAGTATGCGTCTTTCAGATCCACAGACAGAAAACAGAACTCGGGACATACTTGCACGAGGAACTGTTTCAAAGTTAACATCTTGAACTGCCGTTGCATGAGCGAGCAATTAAGATGTCTGATATCGAGAATAGGTCTGAGCCCGCCATCTTTCTTGGGAACGAGGAAGTAGTGGCTGTAGAAGCCTAAATCTCGGTTCGCTAGAGGAGCCACTTCTATGGCTCCTTTTGCAAGCAATGTCTGTACTTTGGACTGAAGAACGCGAGCTTTGTTGTCCTGTACCGAAGTGTGAATATTACCTCTGAAGCAAGGCGGCCTGCGAGTGAAAGTAACCACATTCTATGGTTTTTAGAAGCCAGCTTGGCGTATCCGGGATGGCTTTCCAAGCCTGCAGCTGGATGGAAAGAGGCTCTAACTTTTCGAATGGTAGTTCGCCGCATGGTGGTGGGGAACTGACATTCGTGATAATGAGGAGAGGAGAAATGCTCTTTTTGTAAATGTGTGGGTCCACTATCACAGTGGTAGTTTGCTTGGGCACGCGCTGAACTGTCAGGACGGGCCCAGCTTGAAAAGAGTATCCATCGCTTGGTGTTGAACGAAGGGACGGAGAGTGAGTGCAAGCTTTCTTCGAGGGAGTTCCGGCCTTGACGAGAACTGACCCTCTCTTCTGCCCCTCTGCAAATGGATCAGGACGGCTTTTGAGGCTCAGGGTCCAACGTCATTCTAGACCTTGATGCTTCAGAAACAGGTACTGCTTTGCCATCTGTATAATTCAAATCCTGTATAATTCAAACAATCCGATGACGACTTTAAAACTCTTGAAGTGTTTCCAATTTTGTGTGCTGTATGCATCAGACGTTCAACCAATGGTCCGTGGGCGTCTGAGGCTGAGACTAAGGCCGAGGCTGAGACAGTGGGGATTTTGCAGGCTGCTGGCTGGCTGGGGACTTCTGGTGACTTGAACCAGCCACTAAATTAGAGCACTTCATCAAGAAGAGTTGCAGCGACTGCAAGGTCTTCTGTGCCACTGTGAAACACTCAGCAAACCCATCTATGGCTGGGCCGAACAGTCCCTTGGGAGAGACCGGAGAGTCAAGGAAGGCGACCTTGTCAGCGTCCCTGATCTCAGTCAAATTCAGCCGAAGTTGGCGCTCAACCACCACTAGACTGTCCATGGCCTTGCCGATTGCCTGCGCAGTTGCCTTGTTGTTTATTATTATTGATTGATTGATTGATTGATTTAGCCAGACATGCTTTTGAAAGTTTGAAAGAGTTGTAATGTTTTGGATTACAGAGCACAATGTTAATAAAACACATTCAAACATCAATAAATTGGCAGTTTAATTGTGCTTTATCTATAGTATAATTTTTTTGATTTCATCCAAGTCTGTGGCTGGAAGTCGGTTGTAGTTGTTGTGTTTCTCTTTTTTCTGTTCTTGTTTCTCTTCAGTGATTCTGTTTGTTAACAGCAGGTTTCTGAGTGAAATCTCCTGAGAACTTTTCACCTGAGAAATTTCCAGTCAAACACCTGCATGATGGTTGTGACGAGAGGGGCGGGGCCGAGAGCTGTGGGAACGGAGCGAGGCCGGTGGAGTAAATGCTAATGGGCGACACCTGCGCCACTCATCGGTCTCGAGTCCCACGGAGGAGCTCCGGAAGGATAAAAGGAGGAG